CTCCCTTTTCTTTCAAATTAAATCCAAAAGTTACCAAATGGCCCCTCCTCTACAAAACCTTCTCAACTTAGGTCCAGAATTTACTTTTTAACCCCTGCTTCCATAAATCCTTTCACATTAAGTCCAAATGATACCAAATACCTCCTGACTTTTGAAAATCTTTACAAAATAAGTCCCGAAATTACACTTTAAACCCCCCCCCCCCCGAAGATTCGAATCTTATCATTTGGCTCCCCGAAACCAACACCCCGTTAATTATTATTTGATTTTGACTATAATAATATAAAATAATAATTAAAAATTACATCTCGGGGTTCCGGATTTATTATTTAATTATTCTATTTTAAACGAAATGTTACAATACATAATAAAATAACACATAAAAATATAGAAAATACTTAAAAATATATATAAATACGTAACAAATATGTTTATACATTTAAAATATATAAATACACAAAATAGTTATATATACATAAAAAAAATACGTTTATACATTATATATAAGTTTTGATGAGATCTACAGAAAAATCTCATTATTTTGGAAAAATTAACGATTTGGTCTCATTACCTACTGAATAGGTCAAAAAGTGATAAAGTGAATAAATTACTCGGTTTCTTGGGCTTTTCTATTCAACAAGTTAAATAATCGAGATTTTTCTGTTAAAAAAATAAATTTAGGTCTTTATTAAAAAAGTTTCTAAAATATTAAGATTTTTCATAAGATTTCCCAAAAAGTAACTAAATGCTCTTTGAATTCTAAGAGGTAAAGTTATAAACAATTTAAATAAAATTATGACCATATTAAATCAATATTATATTTGATTTTTATTAGTGATTGAAAAATATTATGAGGTACATTAACTTAGAAAGAAGTTGAATAATTGTGGTGGTTTATTAAGTTTTGATTTTAATCCAGAAGCCTTGTTTTTCCTTTCGGTTGTTCAAGTTTATTTGAGACATAAATAATAATTAGAAATATATTAATTTGGTATTTAAAAAGGAGAAATTGAGTAATCTAACCCAAACAAATGGGGTTTTCAAAGATAATAACCATTTTTTTTAAGTTTTTGAAAAATAACTATTTTCTCCGGAATGCCTAATTTCTGAGTACTGTTCATATTCCATATTTTTTTTTTAAAAAGTTTCTTCTTATATACAAAATGTTTATTTCGAAGTATTTAATATCACATATTTTCAATAAAATGTCTGATTTTAAGTACCAATATTTACATCTACTATGTTTATTTAACTTTTTGTTAGATTTAAGTAAAAACGGTTTTTTTTCTTGAAATTTCGGAATTGTTCTTCGGATTTTGACATATTCTTGAAATTCCGGAGATTTTTTTTTCCGAAATCCGAAATTTTAGTTCGGTATTCAGACTATTTGTCCGAAATATTAGTCCGAAATATACTTTTTGTTAGAAAAATTGTTTTTTCTCGGTCCGAAATATCCCATTCCGGACCAAATGGTTATTTTGCAAAAAATATATATATTTTTTATTTTTTTCAAATACAGTTTTAGTGGTTAGATTTCTTTGTTTCCCTTTAAAAAAAAGTAGTACTATTATTTTTTTCATTTTTTTTATAAGTTTGGTCCTCTTGTAATTTCCCAAAAACTAGATACTATACAACATTTATGAAAGTAACTTTATCAGCATCCTATAAAACTCACTTCCATCTCCGACGTCCAACACAGATCACCTCTGCACCTGCCGGACGGCTGCTGATACTATCTCAGGCGACATCTTCTTCACACGGAGACGACGCTCCTACCGCTATTCGTTCTCTGAACTCCGTTCTCTTAAAACCAGGTAACGCTCTAACCCTAAATCCCCAATCCGGCAATCCCTCACCTGAACCTTTTTTTTTTCCTTTGTTGATCCGTTAACCGTCAAACTATGACTTAGTGTATGAATTGGTGATTTAAAACTTTAGTTGGTGTTATTCGAACAGCTAAATGTCTCGAATCCTAAAGAGTAATCGTGTATCTGTTCTGATTTAGGGTTTGTGATTTTTTTTTTAGCTTTTCATTTGTTTTTTGCGGTTAGTCTGTATATGATTCAGATAGTGGTATTCAACTATTTCTTCTTAGAACGTATTGAATCCGCATGATTTGGTTATACAATCCATGTGATTTTATCCTTGGACTTCTCTTGTGTATGCAATTTCTGTTTTCTAAAGTTATCATATGATTCATCCCTTTGTTCATGTGTAAAAATCCGCTCTCTTTTCATCGATGAGATTTGCAGCAATTGATTCTAAATGCAAAGTTACAATTTGCTACAAACCATGCAGGAAATTTAAAAACAATCAGTGTTTGTAACTGATCAACAATCATGGCGGATTTGGATGAGATGCTTCTTGAAGCAGCAGGAAGAACAGGAAGAAACCAGCATTCAACAACACCATCAAGAAGACAACGAAAGGGTTCATATTCCGATGATGGAAGTGATTCAAGAGATGATGATTCAGACAATGATCGTGGGTATAATAGCAGAAAGCCTTCTGTCTCTCAAGTTCCTTTAAAGAAACGAATAGATCCTTCAGAACATGATGATGAACACAGCAGCAGCCGTGAAGACGATGAAGATGATGATGATGATAGATATGATCGTGAAAGAGACAGTGATGATGACTCAGTTGGAAGCGATCTTTACAAAGGCGAAGAAGACAGACAAAAACTCGCAAAAATGTCAGAACTCGAACGAGAACAAATACTCGCTGAACGTGCCAATAAAAAAAACGATAAAGACTTGAAGAACAGAATCAAGAAACAAACAGAAAAATCGAATCAGAGAAAAGACAGCCCCCCAACTCACACGGTCAACCGGGCAGTCCGGTCATCTGCCCGGTCAGCCGACCGGGCAGCTGCAAAAGACGGCGCATTGAACGAACTCCGTGCCCGGAAACGACTCCGCCAGCAGGATCCAGAATCTAACTGGAAACGAAGAGACACAGAGTCTACAGTCAAACGAAAGACCTTCACTCCAGCTCCTTTAAGCAACTCGAGCCGTAGTGACAGCGGGTCCCACAGTGAAGATGAAGACTCAACGGGCGAAATGGGCGATAGTGATGACGAGAAAATGTCCAAAGAGTCCTCGGTTCTTAAATATGAAGACGTGAAGGGAATCACAATCCGAAGGTCAAAACTGGCAAAATGGTTCATGGAGCCGTTCTTTGAGGAGTTAATCGTCGGTTGTTTCGTGAGGGTCGGAATCGGAAAGTCCAAATCCGGTCCGATTTACCGCCTTTGCATCGTTAGAAACGTGGATGCCGCCGATCCCGATAAACAATACAAATTAGAAAATAAAATGACTCATAAATACTTAAATGTCGTTTGGGGAAATGAAAACTCAGCCGCCAGGTGGCAGATGGCGATGATTTCAGATTCCCCGCCTTTGAAAGAAGAGTTTGACCAGTTGATCCGGGAGGTTGACCGCCACGGTGGACGGATGCCTAGCAAACAGGAGGTGTTGGAAAAGCGGGAAGCCATTGAAAAAACCAATACTTTTGTATACTCTGCTGAAACAGTCAAACAAATGTTACAGGAGAAAAAGTCAACGATAAGAAGACCATTGAATGTTGCAGCTGAAAAAGATCGATTAAGGAGAGACATAGAAGTGGCTAGAGCGAAGCAGGATTATGTGGAAGTTGAAAAGATTGAAGCAAAGCTTCTAGAACTAGAAGCTTCCAGACAAACACAACAAAAGGATAAAAAAGCGATAAGACTCGCGGAAATGAATAGAAAAAATCGAGTTGAGAATTTTAAAAATGCGTCCGAAGTGAAGCCAGTGGCTACGGGTTTAAAAGCGGGTGAAGCGGGATATGATCCGTTTTCGAGGCGGTGGACCCGGTCGAGGAATTACTATGTTCCGAAGCCTGGTGAGGCGGTGGGTGAAGGGAATGGTGGGCAGGCGGCGGAGGCGGTGGTGGGTGGTGGTGTGGTGGCTACGGTGGCGGCACTGGAGGCAGCGGCGGATGCTGGGAAGTTGGTGGATACGAGTGCTCCGGTGGATCAGGGGACGGAGTCGAATATGTTGCATGATTTTGAGCTTCCGATTTCATTGGCTATGCTTCAGAAGTTTGGTGGGCCCCATGGGGTACAGGCGGGGTTTATGGCACGGAAACAGAGGATAGAGGCGACGGTTGGGTGCCAGGTGCCGGAGAATGATGGGAGGAGGCATGCGTTGACACTGTCTGTTAGTGATTACAAGAGACGGATGGGTCTCCTTTGATATGGTAGTAAAATGGTTTATGCTTTCTTATGTTGGTGGATATGAACTTGAATTATGTTATGTTATTGCTATGGTTGTGTTGTTTTTCTTTGGGCTAACCACAAAAAATAGCAACGTACTTTCATTTATTTGTAATCTGAAAAATCTACTAAATTATAGCATTGTTTTTCCCAATGTTTTTTAGGACATTGTACTTTGAAATTATAGTTCATGATATTTGTACTTTGACACATCATTTTGTTTCTGATGTACCTCTTTTTGTTAGTTTGGGTGGTATTTGGTACATAATTGCCATTTGCATCAGCCATCATGCTTTGGCAACTGATGGTTGATATGAACTTGAATTATATACTCTGGTTGTGTTAATATTTCTTTGGGCTTAATGCAAAATGTAGCAACGGACTTTCATTTCTATGTTTATTATCATATCCACCATTAATTTATTTCTATTACAGCATTGAACTTTGAAAAACCTACCATATAATAGCATTGTACTTCAGAACTTTTTGTTATTTAGATCATTTGACTTAGAAAAACATGCCAAACTATAACAGTTAAAAAATTGCTTTCTTTTTGGATGACATTCTTAGGTAGAATGTTCAAAGTATAATGTTGTAAGGATTAAAATAGGCCAAACCGAAAATAGAATTGGAACCTCTTTGTTTCTAAAACAGAAAGAATTTATAAATTAAAAATAAGTCCTAGTCGTATGACCAAAATTCATCATCGAAATTATCCGGTTCAATAAAATCAAGTCTTGGGTATCAAAAAAAAAAATAACAAAACTGGAATACACTGAAAAGCTAGCAACCACTTTAACTTCCAAAAGTCACTCCATAAATACCAATAATTGCCCTGTCATCTCTTTTGTACACTCTTCTTCATGGTAGATCCATTACAACCACTATTAATCCACCTTCCACTTCCACCTCCACCTGCATACGCCCTAAGCTTCTCCAAAATCCTCCTCTCACTAACCCGCAACACCAACGAATGATACAACTTTTTCTCCAAAACATTATTACAACACTCCCTCAATGCTTCAACATCATCTTCCATTGATCTCAACCCATAACACCTTTCCCTAATATCCACCACTGACAACAACCCACCTCGCACATTCTCAGTCAACAAAACTTTCTTATTCGTTTCACTCACCTCACCCAATACAATCCTTGACTTACCAAATTTCTGACCATTTGAATCCCCGAGATATAAGTCGTTGTACTCTTTTTCAGGTAGTAAGATTATGAATATCAATTTAAGCAACTCGAGCTCTGGTTCACCATCATAAGATATTTCAAAATATTCGATTTGCTGGTTTTGGGATTCAGGATGATGTAAATGTAATAATGATTTCCAAAATGAAAGACGAGTTCTTGTGTGACGAGATGAAAATAGAGATGAACTCCATTGGAGGACCATGTCTAGATCTATGTTTATGATGTCGTATGGGTTATCTGGTTCGGTGAATCCGTATCTGTGGAGCAATGCAGCATTACCCATTGATCCGTATGTGTTGAACACCTGAAAATGAATTCGGTTTGTTTGGTTAGATGGAATGTAATGGAGGGGGTAATGGAATAAGGAAAACAAGGGAATGAATTATTACATAATGTTCTATGTCACAAGTATGAGAAAGATGCTAACCTCGGCTCCAGCTTTAACATCCCTCACCATAATCATTTCCAAAATTTCAGTGGTTGGGAAAACACCATCATCATCACCATTAAAATCACTTTTTGGTGAGGCGACATTTGATTGATTTTGAGGATCTCCATCCCTATCATCATCATCAACCTGTTCCTCCATGTTTTCGGAAGTATCATCATCAGATACAGAGGTGAAGTGTACATCCTCAGCATTCGTCTTGTGATTGAATCTGAAGCATCATGAAGAAAATAAGAACAGAGAACTATCAAACTAAAAGCCACACAAACAGATTCAATAACTTACAGGTCTGCCAGAGGAACCATCCCAAATCCGTAATGATCATCTATCTGAAATGAACGTGAAGAGATCAAACTTTTTGCAGCAAAGTACTGTTCAACACCAAAATCTTCTGGATTTAGTTCTATTGGAGCCGATTCCACAAAAGGCACAATACATGCTTTCCAATCATCGTATACAAGAGCTTTATCTTCTTTAACTGTCTGTCTACACATATCCCACAGTGATCAACGGTTAGTCTAATCATCTAAACTCGATCAAAATTTGATGCATCAATCATCTAGATTGGTGAGTAAAACCTAAAACCTAACCTTATGAAGCTCTGTGCCCATTAGGAGCTGATCAATTTCATCAAGAGACCAGAGCAAGGGTACGTCGGGGTTGCAGTCTGGCATGAGGTGGAGATAATCATACCAAGAGGAGTTTTGTCCCAAGCTTTTCTCGAACATTAGAGCGACGGAGAGTGCCATATAACCTTCGAGACAGAAATCTTCAATGAGGCGGCAGGCGGCGGACGATTTGACAGTGAGGCAACTGCGCTTGGGGATGGTGGCGATGAGGTCGCCTTCGTGTATATCACACAATGCCTTCACCCAAACTTGGTGGTCTTCTTGTTGAACTATGAGGTCCAGTGCGTCGCTGTATTCTATTGATTGATATTTCATCCACCGCTTGAATGCTCTCATTCGCCGGCTGCTGGCCATCGCCGGAGGCGTGGTGGCGGTCGTTTAGGACGTTTTATTTTATCCCCACATCAACATGATGTTATAATGTCATATTGTCATGTAGTTATGTAGGTTTAGAAACCAAGTGGGCTCTTAGCATGCAATTTCCTTTGAGCCCATTTCTAATTCATCAGGTTTGGAATTAAACCTGTTTGGGCCCAATAACTTTCTCTCTTCCAAAATGTGTCAATAACTCAATATCACTTTTTGTATACCGGCTTAGGTTTAATATTTACATAAGTATAATACAAAAGAGTAAACAAATAGTTTTTGTTAACAAAGGTTCGATATCCTATTGGTTGTCAATATTCATGTATACATCAATATCTAAATCTATAAATGGAACAGTCTGTCTTATATGTTTGTCCTAACAGTAAGGATATAAGAATCCATAAATGATGTATGAGGTTCAAACATAGATATTTTTTTTGTTTTTTGTTCTGAGCACATTGGTTGTGAGACCGATTACACAAGACGAACTTAGTTGTAGGAAGATTAGATGTTATGTCAGTTGATGAAACCTTGATGACTACAAGAGAGTATGAATAGCGATACCATGCAAAAAATATGATGGATGAATGATTATGTGTTCTAAATTTATCTCCAAATAGTTTGTATGATACTATGAGGTGGGAAATTAAAATGGCATTAAAAGATATATTAATCAGGGTTTGTTTGATAGCCTTTTAATTTTTTAAATCAAGAGTCATTAATGTTTGATATTCTCTTAATTTTAAGTAGCTTATTAACTTTTAAGAGAATGAGTTGTATCTGGATTAAAAAAAAAAAAAAAGCGTGTTCTGAAAATATCATAATTTTTCAGCAAACCTTTTTCATATCTTCTCTTTTTTTTTCACACGACCACCTCCCTTTTCCTCTTATGGTTCTCTCCGACCTCTTAAAAATTAAGATTTAAAAGTTTAGAGCCTCTTAAAAATTAAAACCTCTCAAAATTCAAAGTCTAGCAAATAACCTCTTAACACGTAAAAGTTTGACATAACTTTTATGCAAAAGCATATTATAACACCAAATTTAAAGACGAGTTTACACCATTCAATGTTAAAAAATAGAATTTAGAGTGAGATTTAAAGATGAGTTTACACCATATAGGATTTAGAGTGGGTTAGAGATGCCCTCCTTGAGGGCACGCTTTTTTTATTCCATTAAAATAAAATATTTATGTATGAAAAAAAAAATGTTGCTGCGATCAAATACTTTTTAGACCAAATAAACCTATGTTGGTATTCTGAGTTTTTTTAAACCTAAAGTAGATGACCATTTTACCCATTTGAACACATAAACCCTCCATTCTTTCACTTTATACGTCAAAGCCTTTTTTGTATTAAGTCAAATAGCATCACACAAAATTTAAGTTCATTAAGTAAAAAAAAAAAAAAACTATTAATACATCACGTCACCACATTTTATTTAACAAGTCATGGATGCATTTTCAAAACCATAAAACAATGTCAATACATAATCTAAAATCCGCATGGTGTATTATACTATTATCCTTGCAATGTTTTATTTATAAAACAATGTCAATACATAATCAATATCCTACACAATAGAACCGATTTTAAATCTCCAATCTCAAGCCTATTAATTCCCAGAAAAATAAATTATACAAATGAATTACCACACTTCTAACACCAATTGTTCTATGTTTTTTAATGTTATCATATAACTTGAGAAAAACAAACTTTTTAAATGAATCTAAAAGTTAAAAAAAAGTAGTCCATTTAATTCCCAAAAGTCAACCAGAAAACTTCTAGTAGTACAAAACCACTATGTACTTGATAGAATAGTTGACAGTTGACGAAATTTAGGTTGCACTGTTATAACCCCAATCCTTGCCTCAGAGTAATAATACCTGTTGTCAATAAAAAGGGTATTATGGTTCTTCTTTTTTTTTTTACTTATTTTTATAAACTCCAAAAGTATATAAAAAAGATGAAGAAAACACACCCTTTTTCAGTGAGAAAGCTTTTTATTGCTATTGGAAGTGCTGCTTGTCCTCTGCTATGACTACCTTTCCCTTCACAATCACAAGTAAATTACACCAATCATTGCTTTTTAACTTCCTAAACAAGTAATATAATCAAAGAAATTTAATGATGGTTACTTACCTGTAATGACTTCTAACAATCTTGGCTTAGATAATTGTTGTTTATTAGGGTTTGTAGAACGAGTCACTGACACATGAGATTCTATCTTGAGTAAGTGTTGTTGTAAAACTTGCACTGCTTCTGATGCATGAAGACCATGTAAATCCAATTTCCAATCATCATTTTCAGAGTTTCTGATTGCTAAAATTTCATTTGCTGCTTTTGCATTAAGCTTTTCAGAAGCACTCCATTCTTCTCTAGCCTTTAAGGAAAACTCATGTGCAGTTGCATGATCTCTTCTTAGATACGCCTCTTTAGCTGCTTTTGAGTATCGAGAGGCTGACCTGGCCATATAATTATTTTATTATTTGTTTTAATAAATAGATCATCTCTCTTCCTTTCTTTTGAATTATTTTGTGTGTATGTATCTCAAATATATAAATTATGACATACCAAAATGAGAAAAAAAGACCAAAAATGTAATTTCCTAAATTAAAAACTACAGGGACCAAACCTGTAATTAATCCATTTCCTAATTTTAGAATTGAAAACTACACGGACCAAATGCGTAATTTCCTAAATTTAAAAATACAGGGACAAAAACTGTAATTAATCCATTTCCTTTTAGAACTAAAAACTATAGGGACCAAAAGTGTAGTTTCCTAAATTAAAAACTACAGGGACCAAACCTGTAATTAATCCATTTCCTAAATTAAATATTACAGGGACCAAAACTGTAACTAATCCATTTCCTTTTTAAAATAAAAACTATAGGGACCAAAAGTGTAGTTTCCTAAACTAAAAACTACAGGGGCCAAACCTGTAATTATGGAATTTCCTGACAATTAAAATGAAATTAAAAACTATAGGAAACAATAGTGTAATTTTCTAAATTAAAAACTACAGTGACCAAACCTGTAATTAATCTATTTCCTAAATTGAATACTACAGGGACCAAAACTGTAACTAATCCATTTCCTTTTAAAACTAAAAACTATAGGGACCAAAAATATAATTTCCTAAATCAAAAAGGGACCAAACCTGTAATTAAGGCATTTCCTGACAATTAAAAGGTATATATAATGTAAAATGAATGACATATTCTGAGTCCTAAATCACAATGATTCTTGGTGCATAATAGATAAATGAGCCATACACAAAAATCATTGATGTTTAAAGAAAAGGGCAATGATATGTCCAGATGAAATGCTTAACCCATTAAGTCAAAAAAAAAAAAAAAAAACATAGCCCCTAACTAGATACACAATTGAATAAGAAAGTAGAGCCTAAAAAATATATCATTTGAGTTAAAAAAAAAAAAAAAAAAGGTAAGCATATCTTCAAAAGATCCTAAAGCCCTAAAAAATTGTACAAAACCCTAAAAGCCTAATTATTGTAAGCATACCTCATAGCCTTGATGGCCTCTTTCCGATGCATTATGTACATGTCATCATCATCTTCCCATTCAGGTTCCACTGGAATCATACTCAAGCTATCAATAATAAGCCTTAGGCCTACATTATCATCAACAACCACCTTCCTAGACAAACCATGGTCATCTAACAGTTCCTCAATATTCTCTTCAAACTCTGCTTCCTTCTTTTCCTGCAAACTACCAGGGGAAGTCATCTCTTTAAGTAGAGTCGAGGCTTTGTCAATATCATTATCTACAGCTGCCACTATATCCTCTATCAAGTTCTCATCAGCCCATGGATGAAGCTCCTTGAGCTTCCCATAAACTTGAGAGATATTGATTTCCTTAGACTTGACAATCACCCTTTCATTGTGATTATTTTCCATTAAAGTAGTTGGAACATTTTGAAGATCATTAGATATCATATCTGGAAGACTTGATGAGTGAGTGAGAACAGAGGAGAAAGATCTCCCATTAAGATCAAGATTTCTTGAATGATTTTGACTTTGATAAGATGTATGAATATTGGTTGAGATAGGTGGGTATGGGTCATTGTGTGTTTCATCATTGTTGACTTGTTTTTGTTGTTTATTAGGGTCGAATGCAGCCCATCCAGGAGTTTTGGCCCTCTTCCAAGACATATTCATGTAGCTTTAGCTTTCAAAAACACTCTCATGTATAACAATGCAATTCCTCTCCTGTTTGAGCTTGCAGAACAAAGTGGAAAACCTGGTGAAATAAATACCACAGAAAAGGAGAACATATGAGTGTGATAAAGGATATCCGGAATTCCGGATTTGTGCATCATTACAGGAACACAATTCATAAGTAATCACCAACAATTTTAGCTTTTTGGCACTTAAACAAAAAAAATTACTCGGTTCCTTATCCGTTTCAAACAAGTCAACGCCGCAAAAACAGTAATCATCAACAAATTATATGCGTAATTATCAGCTTTCAATAACAATTTCAATTACAACAGTATACGCTTTAGGAAAACAAGAAAAAAAAATCAAAAAATCAAAAGCTCCCAAACATTTGGAATTGAACAAACTTCTTGTGCAAATAGATAAACAGATTGAAGGAGATTTACCAAATTAGGGCTCGAAAGTAGTTGGAAGTTGATGTTCGTCGTCCGTGGGTTGTGGCCGTGAACCTGTGCCTCCCCACGTTCGGTCGTCGACTGCGTTCGCTTTGTTTCTTCTCAATTTCTTTTGCGCGTTCGTTTGGGCCATTAGGATTTTACCCTTTTCGGTCTGCGGTTATGGTGACGATCACCTTCAATAATTAAGTATCAAACTATCAATATCGTTCGCCCGCTGTCAATCGGAACCAATATAAATGCTAAATAATTGAATATGTTTGTTTACCTAAAACGAGTATATTTCAATTTTTAGTATAAACTTATAGAATATATTTCAATTTGGGAATATGACCAAATGGCTTCTAGCCCAGCGGTATCGGGTGTTGTCCTCCCTCCTCGAGGTTGAGGGTTCAAGTCTCATT